TGTGTGTGTTTGTGTGTTTGTGTGTTTGTGTGTGTTGGTGCGTGTTGGTGTGCTTGTGTGCTTGCGTGTGTTTGTGCGTTTGTGCGTGCTTGTGTGCGTGCGCGCGTGCGTGCGAGCGAGCGTGCGTGCGTGCGTGCGTGCGTGTGAGCGTGTGTGCGTGTGTGCGTGTGTGTTGTGTTTGTGTCGCTGTGTGGTGGTGTGGAGGTGTGGTGGTGTGGTGGTGTGGTGGTGTGGTGGTGTGGTGGTGTGGTGGTGTGGTGGTGTGGTGTGGTTGCTGTGTGTCTGTGTGTCTGTGTTTCTGTGTTTCTGTGTGTGATTGTGTGTGGTGTATGTGTGTGTGTCTGTGTCTGCGTCTGCGTCTGTGTTTCTGTGTCTGTCTCTGTGTCTGTGTCTGTGTCTGTGTCTGTGTCTGTGTCTGTGTCTGTGTCGGTGTCTGTGTCTGTGTCTGTGTCTGTGTCTGTGTCTGTGTCTGTGTCTGTGTCTGTGTGTGTGGTCTGTGTCTGTGTCTGTGTCTGTGTCTGTGTGTGGAGTGTGTGTGTGTGTGCGTGAGCGTGTGCGTGGTAGTGTGCGTGTGCGTGTGCGTGTGCGTGTGTGTGTGTGTGTGCGTGCGTGTGTGTGTGTGCGTGTTCGTGTGCGTGTGCGTGGTCGTGTGCGTGTGCGTGTGGGTGTGCGTGTGCGTGTGCGTGTGCGTGTGCGTGTGCGTGAGGGTGCGTGTGCGTGTGCGTGTGCGTGTGCGTGTGCGTGTGCGTGTGCGTGTGCGTGTGCGCGTTCGCGTGCGTGTGCGTGCGCGTGTGCGTGTGCGTGTGCGTGTGTGTGTGCGTGAGGGTGCGCGTGCGACGACGACGACGACGACGACGACGACGACGACGACGACGACAACGACGACGACAAAGACAACGAAGACAACGACGACGACGGCGATGACGACGACGACGACGACGCCGCGGCCGCGGCCGCAGGCAGCGACGGTGTCCGCAGCGGCCGCTGCCTCGGCGGCCGGGAGGGCGGTGGCGATGACGCCCCGATCGCGGCGGCGGCTGGCGGCGGCGGCTGGCGACGTTGGCCGCTGCTGGCGACGACGGCCGCGGCGGCAGCGGCCGAAGCCTCGGCGGCAGGCCCTTGAGGGGCAACGATAGGGGGGGACCGGGTTAAGGGGGGGAGCATCGACCTGGAGTCGGCGATGCATCGACGATAGATCGGCGATAGGCCGCCGATGGCGGAACCGCACGTAACTGGACGCCTATCGGCGATGAATGGGCAACTCGGCGTCGATGCACCCCGCCTGAACATCATACGGTCAGGAACTGTTGCATAGCGTGTCGCCGCGGTGGCTCCAGCGACGCGCTATGCCTTGCAAGCGGGTGGCGTGTCGCTCCGCTACGAGGGGCGGGAGGCTCGGCAAGGCTCAGGGGCGCTTGGAAATGAGGACGTGAATTGAATGTCGTGACAGCGTGGTGGGCCAGAACCAGCGGAGCGACACGCTTGGTAAGCCAAAGTCCCCGACCGAATCCCCGCCGTACTTCTGGACCTCTCGCGGCGTGCGTCCTGAGCAGAAATTCGAGCGAATTCAGCCGTGGCGACGAGCCTCCCAGGAGGTCCTAGGAAAACGAGGGAGCGGTAGCGGTATAGGAACTTGTGTTCCTCGTCATCGTCGTCGTCCCTGATGTTTCCTGAACCCTGCGGGGCGACACAAGCTTCCCGGCCGTGAAGTAGGCTTGTTCTCCCAGGGTTTCGACACTTGGCCAAGAGCAGCTGCTTCAAGTCGCGCAAGCAGACTGGGGGAGAGGGCCCCCGGACCAGCCGCCAAAAGCAGCAGCCAAGAGCAGCCAAGATCTGGCTTACGAGGGGGGGGGGAAGGGGGAGCGGGGGCCAGGACCGATCGCGCGGCAAAACAGTCCATAAGAAACAAACGTCTTCGCCGATCGGCGGGGGCCCCCGGGCCGCCCCTTGCCCCCCCACATATACCAGGTCTCTGCTTGGGGCGGCTACTCCTGACGACTGGTAGGATGCCCCCCCCCGCGAGTCTGCTTGCGCGACTGGCAAAAGCAGATCGACTAAGCACCGACCAAGACCCAGACGCCCCCCCCTCCGCCAACCCTTCGGCCAAAGGTCGGAACCCAGACTGAAAACAAAGCTAATCGACGCTGAACCGACGCTGCTCGACGCTACTCGACGCTAAATCGGCGATGGCCGACGGTGATGCACTCTAAAGATGGACCTGCGAGGGTATACAAGGCTCCGATGATTTGGGACCGAACTAAGCCAAAATTCCCGACCGTATCTGAGCATGGGGGAAGCGGGTCCTGAGGGAAACGGGTCCTGGACCCGGTGCATTCCTCCAAGACCAGTTGTTCATCCTGAGTCGTTCTCTGACAATCCCTGGGCCCGTGGAGGGTCCCGAGAGCCCGAAAACAGCGAAAAACCTCAGGACCCGCTTCCCTCAGGACCCGCTTTCCCCATGGCGAGATCCGGCGTTGCCAAAAAATGCAACGTCGCAAAACATCACAACCCGAGCCATGGACCCCATCCTCCCGCGTCATGCCTCGAGCCAGGTCGATATGTGAGGGTCCGTGGGCCCGAAACGGGGCGAAAACGCCCCTTCTGAGAAAACTGTAGCGCTCGGAAGCGACGTCAGGGGCGAATAGCCCAAGGGCGGGCATTACACGCATTCGTCTGGGAGCTGCGCCGAAGGCTCGGACCATCACCGCCCCTGGATACATAAGGCGTTCCAAAAGGGGCCCTGCCTTCGAGGATCGAAGGAGGTGCCATCTCTTCCGCGGCTGAAGGCGGCGGAAGGCCGGCGGACGGAAGTAAACCGAGGCTGCCTCCGCTGGCGGAAGCCGGCGGAAGTAGAAGGCCGCCTTCCAAGAGATGAACACGGCTTGGGGGCCCCAGGGTTCCCGAAGCCGGCCGCAAGCCTTGCTCTGCCCCGGGCTCTGCGCCCCTGCCGCCGCCCCGGAACGCCAGGATCTCACGGGGGCGCGCCGGGTCCTCCGGCGCCAGCGGCGCGCGCCCCTCGCCTGCGCGGGCCCACAGCGGTGGCAGGGCCGCCGCCACGAAGGGCACGGGCAGGTCCCGCGCGGGGGGCGCGAGGGCGGACGTCGCGGAGGGGCGGTTGCGCACGTCCTCCTCGGAGAAGGCGACGGCGACGGCGACGGCGACGGCGGCGGCGACGGCGAGGACGGGCGCGCACCGCGGGGAGGGCGGTGCTCCTCGGGGGGGAGGGCGGTGCTCCTCGGGGGGGAGGGCGGTGCTCCTCGGGGGGGAGGGCGGTGCTCCTCGGGGGGGGAGGGCGGTGCTCCTCGGGGGGGAGGGCGGTGCTCCTCGGGTGATCTGACAGCCGGTGGAACGCCTGTGAAAGCCTAGCCGTGGACTTGCCCGCCGCCTCCCTGAGACGAGGAGCCCGCCTGGGACGAAAGCCTCCTGGGCACAGTCCTGGCCGAACGCCCCCACCGCAGTCCAAGCGCTGCCGTGAGGACCACGTCGGGCTCAGGAGGGCTCAGGAGCGCGGGGGAGCCGGAGCGTGGCGGAGGCTCGCCGTGGCCAGCAAGAGAGCCCCCTCGCTCCCAGAGCCTGCGCTCGGCGTTCCTGATGGCGGCACGATGGCTGCACTCTGCGTTCGTCGAGAGGGGGGGGGGGTCCCCAGGCGGGTGCCGACTGCGCCTCATCGGCGGACCGCGCCGGAGGGCTCCGAGCGCATTCGGCGCGCGCAGGTGTGCCGCGACGAGTGGTCGGTCTGCAACAGTCAACACCGAATCGGAAAATCGGATCGAGCTGGAATGTGCCTCGGATCGGGCTGCATCGGCACGGAATCGGCACCGAATCGGGTCGGCAACGCTGGGACGCACAACAACACAATGCAAGCATCGGGCCGCATCGGACCTTTGGATCGAGGTGGGCCCTGACGGGGGGGCAGTGGCTGGGGCCGACTGCAGGCGGACACCCGAGAGAGGGCACGGGCCCTCTGCGGAGGGCGGCCCCGCGCCCCGGGCGCGAAGGGGGCACGATATGCGGTGCCATTGTGCTTGCAGGGGCAACACGCCAGTGAGGCCCCACCGCAGGGAGGACATCCGCTACGAGGGTGGCTTGTCACTATAGCATGCTTGAGCTCGTGTACGCGTCATATGGATTTCTCACACAGCCCACACTGGTTCATTTACAGATAGCGTGTGTAGCGTTCTACGCTTCAGTGAAGGACAAAATGGTCCTAAACCGATGAATGCCACAGTTCTTCACCGACGCCGCGATTTCTTCACAACATCGATCCCCAGAGGTCTGGGCCCCTTCCCAGGGGCCAATGCTTCATTCTGAACCATGGTTTGATGGTCCCGCGTGGCAAGGGCCCCCGGAGGCCGAACACAGCGAAGAACTTCATGCCGCGATCGCGAAGGGTGTCTGGGCAATCCGACCCCACCGCAGGGAGGACAGCGCACGGAAGGACGGGCCAGGGAGGAGGTGGCGCCGAAGGCGGCCGTCCACGGGCCTCCTCGGGAAACAAAAACCCAAGAGGGGGGGATTCGAGTGAGGCCGCCGCGCAGGCGCGGAAGGTAGGACGTCGTGCAGGAGGAAGGGAGGGGGAGGACGTCGGGCACGAGGCGGCTGTCCACGATATACTCGGGTGCGCCGCCGCGGGGGAGAGGGTTCCTCCTCCTCTTCCTCCTCTTCCTCCTCCTCCTCCTTTCTCGACCTTCCCCATTATCCTCTTCCCTTTTCCTGACCCCCTCCTCCATCCCTCCCCCCCTCATACGTCCCCTCCTCCGGAAGATATCCTCCTCATCATAACCCGAATAATCAACAAAAACAACCATTTCATCCTCGTATTCATCGCATGGTTCCTTCATCCTAAACCTCGTCCCTATACTCATCCACTTCCGCTACACACTCCTCCTCAGCATCGAACGTAGCACCATCATCATCAACATCCGCAAAATCGTCATCAGCATCATCACTACTCACTTCTATCATCAGCATCATCATCATCATGATATATCACATTTTACAGTTGCGGTGATGTCTACGAAGAACGTTGCGGTACCGCGATGCGAAAGCGACGGGCGACAGACATAAAAATAAAGTCGGCTTGGAAAGAAAAATAAATATCCCCAAAAAGAAGACCGGCACCTGGGCCTGGGGGGGGGGGCAGCTTGACCCTTCATGGCGATAGATATCAAACGGGGACCGCCACAACTGCGCCACTGATAGATCATTACTGCGCCCACACTCCCATGATAGAGCACGTTTTACGGTAGCGGTAAGATGTCTAAGAACAACGTTGCGGCAGCGCGATGCGAAAGCGACGAGCAGACATACAAGAACATGTCACTCGGCTTGAAGAACAAATCCCGAGTCATCCCCGAAAACGGATGTCCTCCTGGAAAGGATTGGCTTTCTGGGGCCGCGTGGCCCTAGTAGGAGCAAATAAGATCTGCACTGACGCTCGGCACAGAGAGGCCGGGCAGGCCTGTGCGATGCGGGTCCAGTTGGCCCCGTTGGGGGCGTGTCCATCGAGGGCGAAGTGGGCGGCCCCCGTGCGAGAGCACACTCCCCTGCCTTGGCGCCAGCGACGGAGGCGCGAGAGGTCGGCATCGCCCACCTGCCCGCAAAGAAACCGCGCGGTTTTCCTCCACCGAGTGCCGAACCGACAAAAAACTGAAACAGCCTGGACCCCCCCCATCTCGCCCAGCGCTACCATGGCGGGCGGCTTGACAAGACACGCCGAGTGAGGGTACTCGATAATCCGCGGCACACCATACGCGTCACACTCACGCGCAAGCCACACCGCGGCGCGCGTCAGCTGATTCCCTGGCTTCACACTATCCTGTCTGCTCAAAGCAGGAACGCCCATCGGGAACTCCTGCGTCCTCAACGTCTGGGAACGGTGCTTGGCCATACTAAACGTCGTACAAGGCGGCCCCATCATCATACCCAGCACGATCCCTGCCTGTATGTCGGCGATCAGCCCATCCATCACCTCTGGCCGCAACGCGTCGCCCTTGGCCCCGTTCATAAGGTCGAAGTATCGAGCTGGGAACCCAGCAAGCTCGGCCGACCGCCCGCCCCCCTCCTTTCCGCAGAAGACATCCGCGAAGTAGCGCCCTTCCAAACTCAAGTGCCTCCACGGTTCCCGAGCTGAAGCTCGCTCCGCTCCGGCATCGAGATGCCCTCGAGCTGCCTCGCGCAGGCGGCCAGTTGGCCGCCCGGCGACGGGCCGCGGGGGCGCTGCAACGGCTGACGCACCGCCCGTCTCTGGGTTCTGCGCTGCGACCGCCTGCGCGCTGTCGGCGCTGTCCAGGGTCGCAACCACACTGCCGGCGAGAGACTCGGCCAGTGTCAGCGCGATCCTGCCGCCGTCTGGTCGGCCAGCATGCGGACTAGGCACCAGGCACAGCGGCCCGCCTTCAACCTGGAGGCCATCTGCCTCGCTCGGCCAGCGCGCAGCACGCGCCAGGAGCGCGCCCTCGGTGCCCTTCAGCGGGCCGTGACGGGCAACGCCTGCGACATTGGCAGGCTCGGCCATGGCCACGGCCTTGGCGGCCTTGTCGCCGCGCGCGCTGTCGACCGAGCGGCCAGCCGCGCAACCCGTCGTCTCGGCGTCGGCCACGCCGCGCCGCGCCCCGCGGCGCGGTCGCACCCTCTGGAACCGCCGCTCGCGCCGGCGCTCCAGGCACCGATCGTCAGCAGACCCGCTCGCGTCGGCCGCAGACGATCTGGCCGCTCGGCTCAGCGCGGACTTCGCCCGCTGCTCGTCGCGGCCCGACTCGCGACTCAGCTCGGGAGAGCACCCCGACGAAGTGACCCTGTCCGACTCCGCATCGCCCGCGGCCCGGCCTGCAACGCGGCCTCGGCCGTGAGCACGCACCGCCCACTCGCGATCGCGGTAGGCTGGGTCGGCTGCCTGCCGAACTCCACGGTCGCGTCGCCGATGAGGGACAGCCGGCTCGCCGCCGAAATTGGCCGGCGGCGTCTTACTGGCCGTCGAGCCGCAGCCTGGGCTGCCCTTTCAACTCGGCGCCTCGCGCCGAGTCTCCAGCGCCGATCTCGGCCGCTGGCCTTCCCGCGGCCGCGGCTGGATCTCCAGCCGCCGCGGGACTGCCTATCTCATGCGCCAGGCTGTAGTCAGCAGGGCACTGAGCCGAAAAAACTACGAAACGTTGAGAACGGCATTGATGGTTATGTTCGCATTGCTTGCCGTCGAAAACCGCACTGCTACTGCCATGCACTTTAAAACCCCCTTCGCCGGGATCGCCCCCCCCCCCCCCCCCCCCCCCAACGACCCTTGCCCCTACTGACATCAACATCCAGGTGACGGGCGAGAAGGCGCGATGCGATAGGAAACCGATCGCAGATTCGACTCGGCTTGTCCGAGTTATCAAGCTCACTGGGCACCCAGCGGACAATGGCTTTTTTTTTTATTGCGACCGAGACAGTAGGCAGCGAACACACGAAACTGATCCAACAAGTTGAAACCCCTGCTTTTGAATCGATCCAAACTGAGACACACAATCATGTTATCATCGGCGGACATCTTTCCCAAACGAGCCACGCCACACGTCGAAGCGACATCGCCAGCGCCCGCGCCTCCAGCACCACGGCGGGATGCCCCCACTTCCAAGCGCCCCAGAACCTCTCGGCACCGCGCGGCCATGGGCCAGCCTGGCCGAGGCCGCCTCTTGAGCAGGGACCGACTGTTCCGGCATTCCTGTAGTCCTCCCACGAAATGTTCTCGAAACCTAAAAAAAAAGTGTTCTTAGAACATAAACCCGATGTGATAAAACAAAACAGACAGCGAAATAAATGTTCTAAGAACATTTCGTGGAGACCACAAAAGGTTCAGAGAACATTCTTTGGTGGGGCTATAAGCGAGCCAGGACGCTTCGCCACTGCTTGAACCTCGGGAAAGCCCGAGTTGGCCTCGTACTCGCCAGAGGCCATCGCGGCCTCCAGCCCGTCGAAGTCCCCCCCTGGAAGTCCCACCTCGGCCGGCGGCGGCAGCCCCGCGAGCCCCCGAACTCCGGCAGCCGTCAGCGCGCGCCCCCGCGCCTGCGCCGCTAGGACGTCACGGAAGCGGCCCCTCTCGCGAGCGCGGCCAGCAGCAGCCTTCACCTCTCCATCGCTCCAGAGGCCGGCGGAGACCCCCGAAACCCCACTCCGAGGCGCCACAGGCGCCCGCCAGTCGAGTCCACCTCGGCCTCAGCCCAAGAAAGGCCCGCGGCTCGTCCCTCGCGAACGGCCGCAGCGGCTGCCGAACCGAAAAATTCAAGGGAATGAATTTGCACGCCGAACGGAAGCACGATAAGACGGGTCGCCGCACCAGGCCGTAGACGGCGCAGTGCACCAGGACGACCTGCACCATCGCCACGCTGGCCTCCCCGCGGTTCAAGGAGCGTCGGCGCGCGGAGCGCAGCCGCCAGTGCCACTTCGTCAGCGGGGTGCGCTGCAACTCTCCGTCGAAGACAACCCCGAGCGCATCCGCGGCGTCGCCCCTCGCCTCTTCCCCGCGCACCGGCAGGCCGAAGCTCTCGAAGACCTTCGCCACGTCGGCGAGCGCGCGCCCCACCCCCGAGCGACTATCGCCCATCACCCCCAGGTTGTCCAGGCACGCGCAGTGCCTGAGCTCGCGCAGACCGCCACTCAGGACGAGAACGGCAGGCCGACCGCGGTCCCTCAGCGGCTCCGAGGCGTGGAGCGCGGGCACCCGCTGGCGCCCATCCCCTGGCAGAAGAAGAGACCCCAGGTGAACCCCGCGGGCAGCGCCCGCGCCAACGGCGCGATCACACCTCCTGCAACGGCGACGGCCCCGTCGATCACCTGGCCGACCATGCCGACGCCCGCGGCCGGCACATCGGACGAGCCAAAAAATCGCGAGAGCCACTCTGGCATAATCAACATGTGGAACGCGTCCTTCACGTCGGCAACGCCCACGAATACGGGCACCGCGCCGCCCTCGGAACGCTCGGCCTCGACCCCCACGAGCCCCTCGACCGCGAGCAGCTCAACGTGCGGCGCCTTCAAAAACCACTGCTTGCATCTTCTGCAGTCCAAGATCACGCGCATCTTCAAACGCCCCTTCTTCCTAATAAAAAAAACAATCCTGTCCGCGCGACGCAGCCTCGGCCCAACCCCGTTAGCCCGCGCTGCCGCAGGCTGGCAATGAAGTCGGCGCGCCGCCGGCCGCGGCTCAAGCCGGGGTCCACGCGTGGAGCCACGGGGCCGCCATGCATTAACCTCTATGTAGCATCCGCCGATCGAAGCGTCCGTCGGCCATCCCCCTCCGTAAAATGCCAGCGGGCGTCGCGCAGCTCCGAGAAGAGGCCGCGCTCGGCGACCGACTCGGGCGGCGACGCCGCGCCGCGACGGCGGGGCGCAAGCGCCCTGCTGACGGGCTCGCATCCGCACGCGGCTCGCCCCTGTAGAATGTCGCGGGTTCGTCATCCAGCGCCGACTGCATCCTCTCCAGGAGCGCGGGCGGCCGCGGCCCCGCGCCCTGCCACCCCCTCCGCGACGGCGGCCCCAGTTGCGAAATCGCAACAATTCAAAGCAGCGGGGACGTCATCGCGCCGCGCCTCGAGCGGGCGGCCCCGGCCCCCACTCGCGAGCCGGCCGAGGCGCCCATGCGGCAGCGGAAATGTCCCGCGAGCTTCCTGAGGCCAGACGCCTCCACGCCCCATGCATCGCGGCGGAGGGGGTCGCCTGGGTCGCTGGTCACTAAGCCCCTGCCGGGGAATCCGGCCCCCGGCCGCGGCCTTCACGGTCGCGAGCCCGCTGCAGCCACCGCGTCTCGCCTGGCCTCGCTGGCCGCGCGCCACGGCGGCCCCGCCTCAACCTCGCCCAGCAGCGTCGGCGCGCTGGTCTCTGCGTCCGCAACCTCCTCCTCGTCGTCGCTGGCGGCCCTCGGACGCTTGAGCCGGCCCAGCCCCTGCTGTCGCCTGAGCTTCTCGCGGCGGGCCCTGGCGCCCGCTCCGCCCTTGTGGCCGGGCGGGCGGGCGCAGCCCGCCCGGCCGCGCCTCGTCCGCCACCCCCCCCGCTGGGATCGGAGAGCCTCCGCCGCGCCACGGCGGCAGCGGCCTCTCTGGCGATCCCGATTGCGCCGCTCGGGCTCCGTCGCCTCGACGGCCGGCGACCGATGCTTCGGCCGCAGGTCGAGCTGCTTCGGCTTCGCCCGCTTCAGCGCCTCCTCGGCGCACAGCAGGAACCCGCCTTTCACCGTGGCCGCCCGCACCTCGCGAGGGCCCCAATGGCATTCGTCGCCAGCGGCCAGCCGACGGTGGTACCAGCGCACGCCCTCGAGCGCCCCAGGGCCGCCGCGGCGTCCGCGCCCCGTGGAGTAGGTCTCCACGCCCAGCTTCGCGCACCCACCAGGAGGCACCTCGAGCTGCAGCCCCGACTCCTCGGCGGGCTCGCGGAACGCGCAGCCCAACTCGCTGCCGCCCGTCGGTCTCAGCCGGCCCTTCGGGAACTCCCACACAGGGTCGAAGCCGCCAACCTGACGGAGCACCGAACCCCCAGGGATCTTCCCCCCGCGCAGCCGAGCCACCATGACCCCCGCAGCGACGACCGACGCCACGGCCGGAGGCTCCACACCGAAGTCGCCGGCCGCGGGGCCTGGTCTCGAGCCACCACGCGACGCACGCCGCATGTGAGCCAGCGGCGGTGCAGCTGGCGGCGTTGGGCGCAGCTCGTCCGCCAGCTGCGAGCCCGCGGCAAGTACAGGGCGCGGCATCGCCGCCGCAGGCGGCGCCGCGCGCCGCGCCGGGCGCGGCGGGACAGGGGCCGAGCCGCTCATGAGCAGCTTGACCCTCAAGGGCGATAGATATAACATGGGGATCGACACAACTGCGCCACTGTTAGATCATGACTGCGCCCACGCTCCCATCATCATCAGCATCATCCTCAGCATAATCAGCATCAGCAGTATCATCCCCATCCTCATCATCAGCGGCAGCGTCATCATCATCATCGATATCATCAGCATCGTCATCATAATCATCATCATCAACAGCATCATCACTATCAGCATCACCATCAGCAGCATCATCAATATCAGCATCACCATCATCATCGTCATCATCATCATTGCCAGCATCATCATCAGCAGCATCATCATCATCACCATCAGCATCAGCATCGTCATCGTCATCATCATCATCATCATCATCATCATCATCATCATCATCAGCATCATCATCATCATCATCATCCACCTCATCGTTCTTAGTACAATTCCTCCTCCTCCTCCTCCTCCTGTTCCTCCTCCTCCGCCTCCTCCTCCTTGTGGGGAGCTTGACGAGCGAAAGCGTTGCACCGCATCAATTGCACAGCAAGAACGGTGCTTCAAGGACTGGCGGGTAAGCTTCGGACGACTGCCAGACATCCGACTCGACGCCTCGTTCTCGACCTCGGGCCCTGGGTGATGGAAGAATAGCGGCCGCCATCCTTGTGGGCACGGCCTAGTCAAGATTTCCAGCCGATCCCCGATTACAGCAAAAAATGGTAAGCCGAATGCTCAAACAAGATCAACGCCTAGAACAACAAATCCAATCGAAAAGCTCTCGGACCGTGGTATATGGCAAATGGTAGCTTTCGTTCGGAGCACTTTGGAGCCAGGGCCCCGACATCCTGGAAATTGCCCGCAAGCCAAGGCAGTGCAACGGGCACTGCGGAAGGGGAAAGGAGAAGGAAAGGAAGGCACTGCAACGCAGTCAACGGCCACCGCGGAAGGGGAAAGGAGAGGCGTATGCGGGGGCAGCAAGTGACCCCAACCATACCGAGAGAACACCCTAGGGGATGCCTTGCGCATGCCATTTGGTGTCGGAACACCGAAACCAGCTTCGTACTGGTTGTGGCCGACTTGGCGTCCCAAGACGGTCGAATCGACCACAACCACAACCACAGTTCTGATGTCAAGGTCGGCGGGTTCTCCCCAAGGGGCCCTAGAAGATTTCCGGACAATCCACCACAACCAGACCTGGCCGGGCCCATCCTGGGCTGGTGGTGTATTGTTTGGAGCTCTCCGACGCCCCCGCGGTTCTTTTTGTTCTGGCACCCCGAGCGTAGGTTGGGGGTCAGGGGCACGAAAGCTTATCTGAGACCGCCCCCAAACGAGACTCATAGTTTGTTTTCGCGTCGTGCGCGGCGCCCGCGTGCGAAGCTGGGCGCGAGCTGCCAATCTCGCACGGACGGAGGGCAAGAGCCATGCTGCTGCTACTGTTTCTGGGGGGCGGCGGAAATTGGGCTGAGGAAAAAGCACCTATACCGCTGACCTTCCCTCGTTCTCCCCTTGTTGGGCCTCTCGGGAGGCCCTGGTCTCCACCGCTAAACTCACCTCGAAATCCTAGTCAGAACGTGCACCCGAGAAGTCCGGGGAGTAGCGGCATCGCTTCCCCAGGAGTGGTGTCCCACTGGTGTCCCGACGGTGTCCCGATTGCGTCCCGATGGGGGTCACAAGAGGAACCGCAACAGCAAAGAGAAAAGCCCATCGGAGCAGCAATGATGATACTGCTTCGGCGACTAGCACGAGCATATATGAGCCAACGTGACCCCGCTCTGCGGGCTTCTGGCAAACTATGTTGCGCATTAGATGTGGACCGATATATATTGTGCGATGTACGTGTTGCAGAAAATGGTGTGCCACGCATGGCATGCAGTTTACGTGATGCGGAAGACGTGACGTCATATATGTGGTGCAAAGATGTGGTACAAATTGTGGTGTGCAACATTTGCGGGGAAATATGTGGAGAACGAGATGAGGCGCCACATGTGTGGTGCACCCAAAATTGTGCAAGGTACGTGGTGCAATCTACGTTGTACAACCTACGCGGTGCAGAATGTGCTGTGAAACATATTTGGTACAACGCACAGTTTACAAACTACACGTGGGTAATTTATGTGAAGCAACCTTTGCGGTGTCACATAGGTTGTGCAATGTAGTGGGGCAATAGGTCAATTGCAATCTATGTGGGGCAAAGGGCTTTTACAAACGACTTGACAAATTCCATGGCCTTGCAAACATCCCACCCACCCACCCGCAAGTTGGTTTGCAAAACCCATGCAGCGGCGATTGCGATGAGCGCTTGGCGTTGGCACGTGCATCTCTGCGGCCGCGCCAATCAAGGCATGGTCGCGCGCACGTCGGCCACCGAGTAATTGACCACGACCGACGCAACCGCGGTGGCGCTGACCGCTGGGTACTTCCCAGCGAGCACTTCAATGCCAGTCGGTGGGTTGGGCGGGCGCGGTATCATGGCGACGCCGACAACGGCAGACACGATTATGAGAGTAGCGATGATTGTGGCGATGGTGGCGATGACGACGGCAAGGCCAATGAAGGCGCTGATGTTGATCACGCCCGCAGATAGAGATGACCATGCCATCGCGTCGGCGATGAACGTTTTTGAAGGAGTTCGACATGCGCGCGCGGCCCGACGCGCGGGAGTGACCCGCGTGGTGTTATTTGACACGGATCGTGCCCCCCCCCCCCAGCACGCGCGCAAGGGCGTTCGAATGAGTTGGACAAGCGGCGCGAGAGGCCCGTTTGGCAGAAGTGGATGAAGAGGCTCAGAAACCGATGGCTTTCTTGAGAACCCGCAAGACCGCGAGCGCAGGCTGGTTTGAAACCTGGTGTTGCAAAACCATGTGATCTGAATGCGTGTTGGGACAATTGGTTTGAATTCCTGGCGAAAATAACGGTATTTAGTAGATCTCAGCATGCGCGCGCGTCGACGCGCGCGCGAGCAAGTCGTCCCGTTGCTTACGAGTTATTCATGCGACGGCGCGAAGGCCAGGGCGTTCGAGCGATTTCGACGCGCGCGCGAAATATACGTTCGGTAGCACTATATGAACCTGTTGACAAACCGATGGTTCTCCCAAGCATTCTCAAGAGCGCGGGCGAAAGCATGTTTTGGAAAACCCTTGTTGCGAAACCATGTGTTTTATATATGTGCCGAGATTCCCGATTTTGAAATCCTTACGAATCCTTGAGTTTTTTTTAAAAAAAAAAAAAACCATCCAGCATGCGCGCCCTCGACGACGCGCGCGCGTGTACTTCGTCACGGTGTTTCTCCTTTTCTGCAATGGGCTATTGGAAACTGAGAATATTCTATAAACGAGTGCGCGCGCATGATATTTTTGCAGAAGATAAAAGGGGGGCGAACTCTGGCCCAACTGGAATGGTTTGCGCTCATAGGGAAACAAACAAGGAGGCATAATCAAATGCAAATTGCAATGCGCGGGGCCGGCCAAATAAGTCCAGGGGGGTAATGGGGGGATTAAGTTTCTTCTGAGAGAAGCAGATCTATGTGGTGCGATTGGTGCCCGCAAATGAGTTGACACATTCCACGCCCCTGCAGACACCAGCTAGTTTGGTGCGACCGACGCAGCCGCGGTGGCGCTGACCGCTGGGCACTTCCCACCGGGCACTTCAGTGCGAGTCGGTGACTTGGGCAGGCGCGGTATCATGGCGACGCCGGCAACGGTAGACACGATTATAAGAGTAGCGATGATGGTGACGATAGTGGCGGTGACGACGGCAAGGCCAAAGACGGCGCCGAAGTTGATCACCCCCACCGATAACGATGACGATGTCTTCGCGTCGGCGATGAAGGTTTTTCAAGGAGTTCGACATGCGCGCGCGGCCGACGCGCGCGAGTGGCCCGCGTGGTATCATTTGAAAAGAATCGCGCCCCCCCTCCACCCCCTAGCACGCGTGCAAGGGCGTTCGAATGACTTTGACACGCGGCGCGAAAGGCCTGTTTGGCAGAAGTTGATGGACATCGTGAAAGCAATAACTTATGTTTGCCCTAAGAACCCGCAAGACCGCGAGAGCAGGCTGTTTTGAAAACTGATGTTGCCAAACCGGATGTTTTCATACGTGCTCGGGACGCTCTTTCTTAAAGTCCGTGCAAAACCTTGGGTGTTTGAGGGATTCTGGCATGCGCGCGCGACGACGCGCGCGTGTGCACTGCGCCCCGCCTCTTGCAAGGATTCTTGCGACAGCAAGCGCGCAAAGGCGCGCGAGCGATTCCGACATGCGCGCGCGAAAGGTACGTTTAGTAGCATGTTATGAAGAAATGTTGAAACCTATAATGCTCCCAAGAATTCGCAAGAGCGCGGGCATATGCTTTGGTTTGAAAAGCGTTTCTGCAAAACCAAATGATTTCAGATGCGTTCGTGACTCTCGATTCTGACATCCTTACGAAATCCGATGTGTTTGAAGGACTTCGGCATGCGCGCGCGACGACGCGCGCGTGTACAGCTTGCCCCGCTGCTCTGCATGAGAATCTTGAACACTGCTGATGCATGAAAAACGAGGGCGCGCTCATAGCGTTATTTGCAGAAGATGAGGGTGGGGGCCGAACTTCGGCCTGGCTGGGATGGTACGAACTCGTATGTAGGATGGACGATGCGGCAGAGCCACATGCAAATTGCAATACGAAAAGGTGCCCCGTTAACCTCGGAAGGGGGGGAGATCCTGATACTCGTTTGGAGAGGAGCATGTGTGGAGCAAACTACGCGGTGCAAAACGACAGGGCGGCGAAGGGGTGGCGACGGGGCGGCGACGGCGACACGATAGCCGCCAGACCACAACGCAGGCCCAGAAGACGGGAGGCGATGAGGCGGCCACGGGGTGGCGACAGCGACAACATAGCCGCCAGACTGCCACACCAGCCCAGTTCCTTGGGAAAGGGATCAGGACCCCAAAGTACAAGCATTGACTGGGGACGTACTACGGCTAGCGTGCCGAATGCCAAAAAGCATCGTAATGCTGAGCACACAGACATAAGATCGACAGCAGGGTAAGGCGGGCAACTGCTAAAAACACACACTGCTTATCATGACGACCTGGTCCAAACATCGAATTCGAAGGGAAGGGGACGGGGGCGAGCTCGCCAAGGCACCTCTGGGGCCCTCCATAGTCACCAGAAAGCCACCAGACGGCCCAAGCGGGCCAAAACTGAGCGCCGAGACAGTCCAAGAGAGCGTCGGGACGGCCCAGGGTAAACCCGCGACGTCCAAGATGGCTTCCAGACGGCCATGATGCCCCAAGACGACCCAACAGTGCTCCCAGAGGACCTCCGAGAGGGCCCAAAGAGCTGTGGGAAGCGCGCATGTTTCTACATACGCGCGTTGTTCGTCTTCACAACGCCCACTACGGTCCAAGAAGCACCCACGATCGTCCCAAGACGGCTCATGAGGCCCCCAAGAAGACCCCAAGACGGCCCAACAGAGCCCCAAGAAGACCCAAAAGAAACCCAAGACGGCCCCAAGGGCCCCGAAGACGGCCCAGGAGGGCCTCAAGATGGGGCCCACGAGCGCTATACGAACTGAATTTTCGAGTCGTTCCCGTCGCGATGGTCTAAAAATCCCCCTAGTGATCCCGATGCGCATCCAAGAGGCCCCCAAGACCAAGAGGCCGTCAATAGGCTCCCAAGACGCTCCCAAAAGGCAACCGAGAGGCCCCCAAAAGCCAACCAGATACCCTAAAAAGCCTTCTAAAAGGCCCCCGGGAGTCATCCCAAGAGACCCTCATGTTCATGTTAGAGGCTGTTCCACAAAGCTCCCAGCCAGCCCCACGAGCCCACCAGGAGGCAACAAAAGGTTCCCAAAGCCTCCACCAGAGGCAACAAAAGGTTCCCAAAGCCTCCACCAGAGGCCACCCAGAAGCCCTCAAGCAGCCTCATGACAAACCACAACAGCCCCACTTGCCCCCTAAGTTCCGTATTTCCTCCGTTCGCCCTCCTCCTTCCCGCCTCTCCTCCTCCTCCTCCTCCGCCTCCTCCTCGTCCTCCTCCCCCTCCTCCTCCTCCTCCTCCTCCTCCTCCTCCTCCTCCACTCTCGGGGCGTGAACAAAAACACCCAGGCACCCCAGCTCAAACATCACCTACCGAATGACCTGGGCATCTCTACTCCGCCATGGGTCGGCGAAATGGCGCAAGCCACTTGAACAAGATGATTCCGTTCGGGTGCTTGTGCGACTGCTGCACACTCCATCACCCACAACCCAAACTCCAGATCAGCTGCAGGGAGGTCCACTAAGCAGGCATGCTTAACAAGGGATACGTCGACCCCCATCCCAGGCTTCGTGCTGCCTTCGAATGGACCAGAAATTCGGGGCCCAACCCTGGGATAGACGAGGGGGGGGCGCCCATCCTCGATAGTGGTGCGTCCGAATAGCCCCCTTGGGGTGTCTCCCGGGGTTCTCATCCTTTTCTGAGCGGCTTCATTGCTCGTCGAAAAGTCGGGGGCTGGGGGAGGAGATCGCTTGCGAATGCCGTCTCCTGAAAGCGACCTGCAGGCAGGGACACCGCGGGGGACATGGCAGCCAAGTCGAGAGCCGCCGCGGCAGGGAGGCGAGGAGTGGGCGCGGCCTGGGAGGGCTCGAGGGCGACCGCAGGCCGGCCGGCGCCGAGCACGGAGGGACCCCCCTTCGGAGAACTGAGCCCGAGCGGCTGCGGGGGAGACCCACGCAGCGTGCCGCCGACGCCGCGACGCAGGCCACGCGGAC